CAGGTAACCCATTGTTGGTACGTGGTCATCGTCGTCTCTGATCCGACGCGAGGTTCGCTTCTTTGTGATGACGCCGCCCCGCCGCAGCCCATAGGAGATGTGCACACGGCTGCCCGACAACACTACATCCTCCTCTACAACCTCGTACCGACGTGAACATGCCACACACACATATGCAGACACACGTACACACACACACATGCATCCTCACACTTACGCTGCTGATGCCCCGGAAAGGCCAACTTTGCACGGACCAACTTTGCACGTTGCCACCAACTTTGCACGGAGCAACTCACTGCACCAACTTTGCACGGAGCCACCGCCGCCGCGTTGATTGCCCCCGACGATATAGCCTCGTCAGGCTTGCAAAACAGAGTTCCTGACAGGTCTACACCGCGCACGTGACGCCGCCACCACCTCAACGACATAAAAAAGGTGCGTTGCCCACAGGTCTACTAGCCGCTTCTCCCTTCGCGGACCTGACCACAACGCAGCCTGCTTCACTGGGATGGGACGCCTTCCTACTTCTGATTGTGGCGATGCAGCCGCAGCTGCGACGCTACGTCTGCCAAACCTCATTGCTGCCCGCCGCTTGTCTTCACTTCGCGGACCGTGATTGACAGGCCCCGGACAGCCACTTGCGCCTTAACCTCGTGGACCTGATCGACATCCGCCCACACCTCAGCATGTTTGCTTCGATTGGGAGCAGAGCCAAGACTTCGCCACTGAAGGTATGGCGCTGCCGCCTTTGCCTTCGTCGAACAGACTAGCAGCCCACACCTCAGCTAGCTTGACTAAGCCTCGTGCGCTGACGTTGTTTCACCCGCCGACCATGTGCCGCCGCAACTAATCAGCAGGTTCTATCCGTTCACGCCGTGCGTTCACGCCCTCCCCGGCAATGGCGCTGTCCCTCTTTGAGGCGGAGCAGACCATCATTTTTCGCATCACTGCCTCGCGCGTCGAAGAGCAATGGAAAGAGCGCACCTTCGTTGCACGCATCCTTACGCGTGCTGGAGATGGGGTCGAAGTCACTGCGAACAAGGCCGGGACCGCGTCATTCCACGTTTTGGACACCCCCCTTGTAGCCCCACTTCTTCATCCACCGTCCGTCCAGGCCGCCTTCGACCGCGACCAGTGGAAGGCCTTACCACATGGCGTTGCCCACAGTGTGCTGGTCAAGCGATCCTGTGTCCGTACCTACAAGGGTCAAGCCTACACCGGCATCGCCAACGATCTCTGCAACTTGACAAACACTCATGACGCTATATAAGTCTTTTTTAACATGTCTTTGTTCCCCTGTTTAGGTCCAACTGCTGAACTCTAGGCTAAACTCTCCTAGTTCCGTCCCTTCTCTCACACCTTGTTCCCATACTACTCACTCTTTTTTTTACTACCTTCGACCTGCTGTTACTGAGGCCTACGCTTCCAGTTCCGCGCGCAGTTGCAACGAGTCCTCGACGGCATCCCGGACACGATCTTAAAGCCACAACCTGTCACTAAGCCCGAACACCTTGACCAAGTTGATGAGAACCAACCCCTCAATGTGGCCGGCGTTGTCCAACATGTCGGACCGGCACCGTCGCCGGTCAAACCGCTCGCGCTTCCTCGCCGTACCATCTCCTTGCAATGGGGCGCCTGGCCTGCACTGCGCCACCGACTGGCAACCAATACATATATGTTTTAAACCCCCATACCACTCACACACTCTTCCAACCTTGCCCGGCTGCAGGCGACCAGACCATGCCCGTCGACACGATTGGCAACATGTCTGGAGCGACTTTCGAAACTGGACAACCCTTGCTGGTTATGTCGGCGCAGAAGCGATCGTGGATGGGCCTCATTTCCCTCGAGTCTTCCCGCCTCACGTGGTGTTTGCCGCCTCCCAGCTGGCTTACAGCCCTGCGTCAACTGAACTAATGTAACTAATGACTTTCATAGACCTTGCTCGTAGTCCAGTGACCTCGTTTCGTTAACCCCTCTTATACCCCCACCTGCACGGACGATCCACATCCCAGGTACCAGACCCGAGCGCTGAAGGCTTTGAAGACCGCGCCGCCGACACCGCCATTGAAGGCCCACGTTCGCATCATGCCATTCACCGAGAGCCTGTTCCGCGTGAACATTTGGTGCGGCAACAACGGCGACCGCCACCGTTTGCCCCTCCAGGTCAAGGACACGACTGGCACGCCAACCATCACAGCTTGGCAAGACCTCCTGGCATGCTTCACGGACACGAATCTCGATGAGGTGGCCACCATGTGGACCGAATGCGACGATGACGAGGCCGCACGGACTACCTTCCTCCAGACCCTCAACCAGAAGAACGCCGCGGACACAACGTGGGAGGCCACCGTCCGCCCACGCAAATGGAAGGGTGAAGTTCAATGGACTGTTGTAGATTTGGTCGTTGCATTGAACCGGCCCACTGCCCGACCTGAGGGCCGACAGACCACACTGAGCTGCTGCGGTCCGAATACAAGTTGCAGCCTCAACTGCAACATCCACTCCTTTTTTGTGCAGCTGCTGGCCATTGGACACCTAGGATTGCAAGCGCATACTTATATTTCCGATTCCTGGGTGAAGAACATTCTTCCCGCAGAAGCCGAAAAGGTTTTGGAAACGTTTGTGTGCCTTGTCATGTGCTTAGTGCTGCAACGTATCGAACCTTGCCCCGGATTTGCGGGGTGATATTGCCAGGTTCCTGGAAACCCATAAGGTCAGTCTATGTTTGGACCTCAGGGCTGACAGGGCATTGGTTGCAAGTGTAAAAAAAGCTCACGCTAGGCCCTAGGTGTCTGTCCACTTCCCCCCCCAACACATTTACACAGGCTTGTCGTTGGTCATTCCTTCACTCTTTGACCCCAGAAAGAACTCCAGGTGAAGGCCTAATCGCATTCTTTTCCAAGTCTCTTCGAACGGTGAATTTCCCGGAAGAAACAGCATGGCATCTTTCTTTGAGCCCCAGATTTGTAACTCACGAGTGAAGCATCGCTCTTCGGGACGGTGCAATTTTCAGGAGCCCGTGTCTCAAGGGTTCAATCGCTGCTTCCCATCTGCAAGACGCGTTCGCGTGCGGAGGACGGAAGACGCGTTCGCGTTCTGGAGATCTGAAGGGGCGGGAGCGCGAATCGGAGTTGGATGGAAGACGTGGATGGGTCGCGTTAGGTCGTGATAGATGTACATGCAGCGTGGGCACAATGAGATTCAAGTCAACGAATTTCTTGGGAGGGGAAGTGTCAACCGGCTTAAGACGAGCGATGTGAATTGGATATGAAGCTGATGGATGTGATGCATAAAGGGAAGAGCGTGGCATCAGTCTCAATTGAGAGACCCACCCTCAACCTAGAAAATTTTAGAGATCCGAATTTCGCGGACCATTTGTGCAGTGGTGGACCCTTGGGAAAACAAACCGTACCCCAAAAAAGAAAGCAGAAATCTTCGGAGAGGAAGGTATTTTTGATGTACTATACTTCGTAGACGCAGTTTTTGCTGACACCCTTTCCGTACACACCCGCCATGTTGCCTTTACAGACCAACTCTGTCGCAGCGGACGCAGGCAGAGCGAGGGTCGGAGCCCTGCGTCAGTGAGGGTGAGTTGCACGAGCTGCATATGCTGCATGTCTTGTGTTCCGAGAACTGATTCCAACTCGAGGCAGAAACATGGATTGAGCAAGCATAATATTTGGTCCGCTTGTTTAGCCACGGAAACTGTAAATAAGAATGAGAAACTCCAGCAGAATGCTGCAGAAGTTGTCTCACTGTGCGAAACAAGACCGTTGGCACTTCAAAGAGCAATTGCAAGAAATAGCGTGCCGAGCGACGTTGACCAAGCCAAAATAGCACAGCCAGTAGTACTACTACTACTACTACCACTACCACTACCACTACTACCACTACTACTACTACTACGACGACTACTACTACTACTACTCCTGCTGCTGCTGCTGCTACAACTAATACTACTACTACTACTACGACGACGACTACTACTACTACTCCTACTGCTACTGCTACTCCTACTCCTACTACTACTACTACTACTACTACCACTACAGTTACTTCTACTACCAGTACTACTACTACCACTACCACTACCACTACCACTACTACTGCTGCTGCTACCACTAACTACTACCGCCACTACCACTACCACTACCACTACCACTACCACCACCACCACCACTACTACTACTACTACTACTACCACTACCACTACCACTACTACTACTACTACTATTACTACTACCACTACTACTACTACTACTACTACTACGACTTCTAAATCTACTACATCTACCTCTACTACTACTACTTCTACTACTACTACTACTTCTTCTACTTCTACTTCTACTTCTACTTCTACCTCCACTACTTTTACTACTACTACTACTACGACGACGACTACTACTACTACTTCCACTACTTTTACTACTACTACTACTACCACCACCACCACTACAACAACAACTACTACTACCACCACTACAACAACAACTACCACTACCACTACCACTACCACTACTACTACTACTACTACTACTACTACTACTACTACTACTACAACGTCCACCACACTTACTACTCCTACTACTTCTACGACGACTACTACTACTACTACCACTACCACTACTCCTACTCCTACTACTACTACTACTACCACCACCATGTAACGACTTTTTGAGCCGATGCTCAACCCCAACCATCCTCAGTGGGCTAGAATGTTGTTTGATTCCTTTTTTTTGATCCGCGCTGAAGTTGTTTTTGATTCTGTTTTTTTTTGTCCCTTACCCACCATAACAGAGTTGAAAGATCATCTTCCTCCACCAGATAGGTGCTGTGGGAGTTTAGAGGTGGCAGCTCTCAACCACATTCACATTGGGGTCCCTGCTTCCTTCGTTGCCCAAACAACTTGTGTTTACATGGCAGCCTCCGCTCAGGATTCGCGGATCACACGGATCCCCCTTTCAATCAAGAAAGAATAAGTGCCGTGGCTCTCTCAGGTGGAGACACCCTTCAAAGACGGTGACGTGTTGAAGAACCTCGCAGCAAAATTGGTCGAGAGCTGCCGTTCTCGTGTTCGTCGACGAGCTGCGGTTCGCGACACCCTGATATCTTGAAAAGATCACTGATGTGGATACATTTGAGTTTCACACAGCATCATCACACCTGCAGGTTGCCACGCACGTCCGGATTTTTCTCTCTATGCTTGCCCAGGCTGGGTGAGTACAATACAGCTGCGACGGCCTCAGCAAGGGCCGAAAATGATTGTCGTTTGTGGTCAAACTGTGTGAGAGCTCTTCTGTGATAACCAGTATGTTCTTGCAACCGAAAGAGATGAACATGAACATGTCCTTCGATTCTGACAGACAGGGTAGCCTTCGGTTATTGGTTGGGTCTTTCTGATGTGGGCAGCCAATGGCAGCCATCTCCACTTTTTGAGTCTGGTCGCTTCGGGGACTTGATAGAAATGAATATGAAGATCCAGCTGTGCCATTTGGGAGATTCTTGATGCGCTGCTTGATGCCTGGTCGACGTGCTCTCCATGTCGTGCAGGTCATGGTCGTGACTCGTGTGCTGATTGACTGCGCGCTCAGTAGCGCCTCGTCCATGATCGATGAACAGCACAGACTGGCCAACAGAGGTTGAAGAACCCTAGTTCGACTATCCCATAGGTTACCCAGGTGACGGGTCCTTTAAGGTCACTTAACCTCTCTTGGGGGAGATGAAGATGAAGTGAGTTGAAGTAAGTTCGGACACAAGATCGACTCCGAGGAAACCACTCTCAGACTCTACAATCGGTTTGTATATTCTAGGAGATGTGCCCTTTGATTGAAGTAAGACCATTGTGTTCGTGCAGGCACCATGGAGGACTTGATGTTCACAAGGATACAACTCTAGGTATAGTTGATCTCGCTGTCCAAATGTTCCCTGGTTTTTCTCCTGCCCTCTATCTGCCCGAAACATCCCGAAACTAGAAATGGTGTTCTGCCAGCAAAGCTGGAAAGTGTCGAAAGAATTTACGTGACTCGATTTCACCAAGCTCCCTGACCCAGACCCCAACAATCCCCCCACCTCGAGCGCACTCGTGCGGTCAGTTTGCTGCACCTCCTTCGAGGTGCTCCTTCTGGAAAGGCATGGTGCAGAGGGACACTGTCAGGCACAGGACCCCGAGGATCTGAACCAAAGGGGGATGTGGTCAGTTGGCGCATCGAGTGGCGCATCGAAGCACGGACCTCACGGACGTTCGACTCGGATGTGGTCAGAGCACCGTATCGGATGTCGGCACCGAAAGCGCGGGCTGCCGAGTCGTTCGATTGGCTTCCGGAAGTCTTCAGTTTCAGCCAATGATGTCCCATCACCTCCTTTCGCTGAAGAAGCATGGTGCCTTCGCCGCGAAACAGCGAGAAAAACAGACGAGGATCCGCCAGGTTGACATAACAGCTGATGGAAACGGCATCTCTGGACAGGCTTTATTCTTGATGTGAACAGAATGTCAAAAGGTTGTGGATTTAGGGAGCTTTTTGGAAAGCGCCATGCAGCAGAGCTCTTGTTGGCTACTGCTTGTGCATGACAAGCAGATGGACCACTTCTAGTCGCTCTAGTGGAGGTTTTCGCGTCACCCTGAAGCCTTCGTCAACTTAAGACCTGCGAGATTACTGCGGTGATCCAATGTGATCCATATTGATCCTTGGTTGCTTTGCACTTGTATCAACAGATAAAGTGGGGTTGCTGAGTGACCCGATGTTGTCGTATGCCATGTTGTATCAGGCACTGCGGAGAAGGGCGGCTGCAACGACAAGCTGGAGAATTGCGCCAACCACTACATCAGCACAAGCACCGAAGGCGGGAATATTCCGCAATTGCGGACTCGCGCACGGCAATTTGTTCCAACACCAAAGGGCAACTCCCCTGAACAAGAAAATATCAGTTTGTGTGGGCTTTGCGCGCAAGATTTCCAGCTTCACTCCGCCTTGAGCATACTGGGAACCTGCGGAAATTAGTTTGAGAGTCAACATTCCAAACTCTGATAAAAGATCCAACTCGAACTCTTCGCAACGGCCGAGATTGACACACTTTTTCGGCTGCTTCGCCGCCAGGTCTATACCTGCAGAACTGACCTCAGAGAAAGGAAGTGTTTGGTTTGCTGCAAGGGTATGCACACAATAAAAGAAAAATGCAAACAAGTTTCATCTATATATAATCTATATTATATAGTCATAGTCTAATTATATGTATACTAATAGATCATTGGGATGCCCCAAGACAAGGATCGAGGTGCATGTGAAATTCACCTCAAAACCCAGGTCTCTCCCGCAAAGGATCGGTGAAGTCCCCATCCAAAACAAGGAGCTGGAACTGACTCGGAGAGAAACAATGGGAGGTCCCCCCAAACCCCAACCCCTTCCTGATTTCAGAAAAGAGTTTCAGATGGATTAAGATGGCAAATCAATCAGACTGTGCTCGGATTCTCCTGTCCGAGGTGCGGACCTTCAGGCTCGGGCCCAAGTGTATCGGGCTCATCTTCGGAGCAAGTCGTCCGAAGTTCTGTCTTCGTCGTTGGTCATTTTGAGAGTTTGTTTGTAAGTTCATCAACCTGAAGTTCTGCAAGTCTTGTTCTTCAAGATGAACTTTGCTCCTAAGTGTGCGTGATGAGCTTGTAGGTTCATCTTCAGAGTTGGAGGTTCAAGCATGATCAACTCCTTGAATCTGACCGCAGAGGTCTCAACTGTTTGGCTATCGGACCGGCATGTGAACCGGTACCTACTTTGTAGAATGTACAAAACTATGTGTATCTATATATATATATATGCATTTAAGAAGAAAAACTTTCGTTATTTTTAAGATATAAATATCAAGAGAGTGTAGCTTAAGATATGAGAGCTTGAAGTTATGCAGGTGTTGTTTTTACGCGCTTTTGTGTTTTTCTTAGATTTTGTCATGTTTTGAAAGAATTTCCACGGTTGCGGTCTAGATATGTTTTTGTGCTCTTGTTTCTCAAACAAACCAATTGTTTTTTGTTTTCAAACAACCTCTGGATCCCACTCTACCCTTCCTTGCCTATAATCATTCTTATTATTTTAAAGGTAGCAGTCTTTGGGCTTCTCCCCCCCACATTCTTTATGAAATGGAGAGAATATTATTATCTTGAAATATTATGTGCCTACTAGGCTTAACAAGAATTGAGAAATTTATATTCTCATTTTTAGGGTTATAGGAAATCATCTTGCGAACATTGGAATTTATATTTTCTCGTATTAAATTTGGTATATTTAGCATGTTTTTAATATTTATCTAATATTATTAAGGATATGTTTTTTGTGATATTATGTAAATTTAAAATTATATATGGCTATGTTTTTTCTGGATATATTATGGTTTAATATTTTATTAATATTTACCTAAAAATAAATTAATAGATTATGCAAAAATATGTTTTATTAATAGCGTGAATTATGAGGATTAATTAATATTAATTTGTGTTGATTTTTTATTGGATTATATATTTATATATATATTTATTGTTGGTAATTATTTTATGAATTGTATTAATTATTTAGCAAATTTCTTTTTTATATGGAGTATGTGTGTTTTTGGAGGCTAAAAAATTAAATCGAAATATTTTTTATATTGTGTTGTTGTTTAGGGCATTTTTTTAATGATTTATATAATTTATTAAAAATTAGGATTCTAATTTTTTATGTTTAGGTATTTATGTAATCGCTTATGGAGGAATTGTTTGTATAAATATAGCTACAAAGCTAATGCTAGCTATTTGATGCACCTAATGTGTTATTTTATTTTATTTATATTGGAAATGTTATTTTCTTATATTCTTTAATTATATGCCTATTTCTTTTTTATATTGGATATTATAAACCATTAAATTAAAATAATCTTAAATATTCTATTATTGAGATTATCTTCTAATTTATCCTTTATTGTTAAGGATATTCTTTTTCGTGATGTTATCTTAGCTCTAAATTTTATTAATCACCTTTTATTGAATACATTATGATTTAATATCTTATTAATTTTTACCTAAAAATAAATTAATAGATAGTGTAAAAATATGGTTTATTAATAATATGAATTATGAGGATTAACCAATATTATATTTAATTAATGTTGATTTTTTATTGAACCATTTAATTATGTATAAATTTATTTTTAAAAATTATTCTATGGATTCATTTCCATTATTGATTGCTTAGCAAATGTTCCTTTTATATAGTGACTATGTATTATTGGAGGCCAAATAAATCCAATTGAAGCACCATCTATATTGTATTGCTGTCTAGGGCATTTGTTTAATAATTTGTATAGCAATATAGTTTGCTTAAAATTATGATCCCAATCTTTTATATTTAGGTGTTGCATCTATGCAGGTCATTACCTCTATGAGCGGGATTTGGTCTTTATACTTCTAATCTCAATAGTTTTTAATCTTTAGCATTGGGCCTGGATTTTTGCCGTTGGGGGGAGCCAAAAAATAATGCTCGTGGAATTGGACAATCATTGTTTTTTGCGCTCCTTTCCCTTGGGAGAAGCCTAGGCCTAGGCCCAATTATTGAAATTGAAAATTCATTGAGATTGGAGGTCTTGGAAACCAGATCTTCTTTTATAGAGGTGATGATTTGACGATGTATGATGTGATGTCTTGGATTTGTTGATAGATGATGGTTGATGGATTTTTGTGTGGGAATTATGAGAATTAGTATTTTGTCAAAAATTTGATGAAAAATTTGATAGATTATAAATCAATATGTTTGCTAAATATATTTTTTATAATAAACCATCTTTTTAAAAAGACAGAAATTATAAATCATAAAAATGTGTGGAATCAATTCTCGTATAATTTCGTTTTATATGAAATATATTTGTTTTTTGATATTTGGTATTAATTGATATATTATTTTTTAAATTCGATTGAATATTACGAAATCTAATTGATAGTCGATGGGCAAATAAAGTGAGTATAATGTGTGGGTGAATATAGGGTGGGGATTGCATAGTGGACCCGGTCGGGTAGGGTGAATTTAGAGACTCAGAGGGAAAATGCAAAAAAGAGGCGATCCGGAAAGTGGTGAATATATATGTTTGGGGGGGGGCTTTGGTGAAGCGAATTATGCAAGTGATATGTACATTTTTTGTTTAATTTAGTGTTTTTTCCCGTAGTCTAAATGTCGTGTTTGATTTGTTTTTTTGCAAATGTACGATTTTATTTCTATTTTGTGATCGTTAGTCGTAAGTGGATGTGTGATTAAGATTTTCTATAATATTTTTTTTTTTTATATATATGTTTTAAAAATGAATTATTGTGTTTGTATTTATAGTTGATATTACGCTTAATGTGTTGTCGAATATTTTCTTTAGTTGATATATTATTGTGGAGATTGATTTATATTTTTTTAGGACGATATATATGTATAATTAAAGATATGCATATTTAATTGTTGTGAAAAATATTGTTTATATTTTAAAAATGTGATTAAATATTAAATATTTATATGTAGAAATTGTATGAAATTATTATAGATATTATATTTATGTTTTTGAATTTTGGCGATTGGTAATTTTCATGATTATTTTCAATTTATTTTGCGAAGCAAAGGAATTGATTCGAGAGATTGTTCGGGATGAAAGATTGATAGATTAATGCCTATCATCCCCATTCCCCCCCCCCTTCTTCGCATATAATGATTCATTGATAAATCAATTATTTTGCCCCCCCTCCTCCTCCCTCTTTTCTTTTCTCCTCCACTCTCCATTCCTCCTCTCGCTAGCATTACTAGCATTCTGGACACACTGTCACGCCATAAGGTGAATAAGATGAAATTATGCGCGTAGCAGTTATAGCAATACGATGTTGGCCATGCGGTTGCGCAATCCAGCACGAACCCTGCACAATGAGGTTACGCAATGCGGCTTCGATGCTGAGCGCGCGCGCCCGGCAGCCTAACATAACGCGTATTGCATTCATAAACCATATTGCTCGACACCAACGATCATCGATATCTCTGCAAAGCCCTGTGGAGAAACCTCTCGCTTCGCGGAGCACCATTCGATTTAGCCTTATATCCTCGCGTGGCGACATCTTAACGCGTCGTGGAGCACCACTACACAGCTATTTACCATTATATACCCTTCCCATCAGCCAGCCACCATAACGTGACGCCCATCCTTGGCAGTACCGGCGGCTTCGACGCAACGCGTGCAGGCCTGTAATCCTGACACAGTGCGTGTAGTTGTGGGACCATAGTTGGTTAACATGCGAGCATTTACGCATTGCGATTTTTACGCGCGCCTGTTTTCACCCACCTTTACACAAACGAGCGTCGACGCAACGCAGCCTCTCTGCAGAGCCGGGCGGCGCAATCTGATCGCAACGGTATTCCTCTTGAGCCTTCTTGTGCTCTTTGGCTTTATTGGTTTCATCCATAACTGACCAAGGGGAACGTTCCTAAAATACCGGAGACAGTCCCTCACCAGAAAAGGTCTCGACAGCTACCCGGTCCGTCTCTACCTTTCGTATTTCCCCGCTCAAGTAAAATATTGTAAAAATAAAGATGAAATAATAAGGATTTGGGGAATTCAAATATGGAATTGAATTTTTAAGAATTCATTCCGAAAAATATACGGTTAATTTAGGGAAAATAAATAATATTAATTCCCCAAATAGTGCTCCGCACTAAGGGGTTCTTACGGTAAGAGTTAAGCGGGTTTAGATCAGGGTTCGCGCGTGTGGGCGCGGCATTTTGCGTGGGCCGGCTCGCACAAAAGTTACTTTTTGAATTCCTCATGTCCATTTCGATTGCGCAGGCTCGCATAAAGTGGGGGTCGCGGTTTTCGCGCTTCCGGGACAAAGCTCTCGTGCAGGTGCCGTGCTCGTTTTCGGACCTGAAGTGAATTTCGCGTGGCAGGCGCAAGGAATTCGACACATTGGAGCCTCGAAAAGGTCATTTTACGTGGCAGACGCAAGGAATCGGAGACTTTGCAAATTTCGTGGCAGGCGCAGTGTTTTGTGGACGTTGCAAAAACGTTGGCAGGCGTGTGTCATTCGCAGGACTGCGTTTCACGTGGCAGGCGCAGGGAATCCGCACCATGGATGCGAGATTTTGAGGTGAAACGGCTGAATTCGTGAGAGGGGTCGCATTTTTGGACTTTGACCTTGAGGATGATTTTGCGTGGCCAGTGCAGCATTTCGTATGACCTGCAGGCATGATTTCGTGGCAGGCACAACATTTCTAAAACGCATTTCAAAATTTGCGACAGCCTCGTGCAATTTGCTCATTTTGGATCTCCGATGTGCAGAGTTCGTGGCAGGCGCAGCACTTTATGAGTCTCGATGTGCAGCTTTCGTGGCAGGCGCAGCACTTTGTGAGTCTCGATGTGCAGATTTCGTGGCAGGCGCAGCACTTTGTGAATCTCGATGTGCAGATTTCG